CAGCAGAGCCTGTGGCTCCAAGCTAGAGCAGAAAGCAAACCACCCCTCCTCCTGCTGCTCATCTGTTCCACAGAGCCTTTGAGACAGGCTGGTGTGGCCCACGTGGCCACAGGCAGCTCTTCCTCAATCCGGTGCTGAGGCAAACTTCAAACCCTGACCTCATCAGGCAGCAAACAGGACAGCTGCGACCAAAGCCCGGGGTGAGGAGGGCTCCTAGAATGGAGCAGAAGAGTTCTGGTGGGTGAGCAGACAGCAGGGCATCATTGACAACAACACATTGCAGCCAGAAAGAAGGGCACTGAATGTTCTCACCACAAGCAAACCATCAGAGGTGGAGGTGACAGACAGGTCAACTACTCTTGGCTGGTCACACACAGGGAACCATGCCATGCCCCATAAATACATGCAATGATTGCAAGTCCCTGAGAACTAATACCCATAACTCTAAAGGATATTCTCTTCCAGAAAGAGTCTTATGGTTGCACTTAGAAAGAGGACTTTACCAACTATCTGGGTGTTATGGTTTATGTCCTGATGTTTCCCCAAAGCTTCATGCAGTCATGGGGCTGGGGGCCTTTTTGGAGGCTGCAGAATGTAGAGTTTAGGACTGGTCCATTGTCTAGTGCTGGGATCTTGGGCCGATACTCTGCATACAGTATAAGGGGCAGAAAGAGGCTTGTGTCCCCTCTTCTTGCTCTTGCTGCTTTTGTTGCATTCTGCCACTTGGAGCTACTGCACCATTGCCATGTGTCACCCTGCCTTGGAGTCAGCCGAGTGTGGACTGAAGCCTCTACAAACTGCGAGCTAAATAAACCTTTCCTCCCTTAACCTCGGGCATTGGGTATCCTGTCTCAGCAATGAGAGAAAAGTAACTAAGACCCTGGGCACCTTTAGTCAGTAAGGTTAACATGCAAAATGCCTGTTATAGTAGTTTAATGTACCTATGCAAACTCCTCCCCACACCTTCTCCCACACAGAATAAAGTATAGAATAGACAAAAATTACAGATTAGATATTTAGACGTACATATAGATACAGGAGATATAGATTATGGTTATAGATGTGGAGATATAGGTTTAGATATAGATTACATTTATAGATTATACACAGAGACACAATCCCAGTGCTTGGATCATACTCAGAGCCTTGTACACATTGCGTTTTAGACAAGTCCTGTGCCACTGTGCTGCACCTTCAGTCCCTCCCTGCACTCTAGCTTCCTAACACAGAGAATACTGACTCCTACTTCATGGGAATTTATCAAATTTTGGCAGAACCTTTGCCCTCGCCATTGATTGTTGGTCTGTGTTGTCTAGAAATCAACTGTCAGGTAAAGGAATGCAGATGCCCCAAATTCTAATGATCCCAGGAAACAGAAAATCCAAGAGTTCTTTACAAACTTCAACCACAAAAGGGAAAGAAAGTGCCCAAAAGGAAAGAACAACTGGGATAGCAGAAAGGAGAGAAGAAAGAAGGAATATATATACATGTATATACGCACATATGCATACATATATATGTATGTAAATATACAAACAATAGGTAACTGTACTACTAATCTCTGTTCATCAAAAAGAACACTTGTGTTTTCACTGTCTGATTGTCTGATCATTTTTTATGCCTAAACCTTGTAATCTAAACTACTTTCAAGATAGCAATGTGCAATATACTAGCTAGTATTAATTTCCTATTTTTTGAAATTCTGTATCATTTTTATCCTTTGTTTGTTCTTAAAACTAAAAAAAAAAAAACTTCAGCTATAATTTCACTAACTTGTGTCCATTGAACATGAGACTCAGTAAAACAATCTAGTTTTTATGGTTTGGCTTCATTGGCTCCAAATATTTTGTGCATCGACATAACATTCTGAGCTGATTTAAACAGCGGGAGATTTGCAGGGCCTGGCACGTGGGAAAGTCCATCTCCACCTTACTGTTTACAAATTATCACTAGAGACACTTTTTGAACACTGACTGCCTGTGAGCAGCGCAGAGCGATGCTTAGAGATCAGTGCAATGAAAATTCACTTTAGGGGTCTCCACTCTCCCAGCAACTGGCAGATAGAAGGCCCTCTTGTGAGATCCCCATGTGTGCAGAGCATGGAGCTACCATGTTACAGCCTCCACTCAGAAATACTGTCTTGCTTTATGGCTTGTCAGATACCAAGGTGGCCTCATGCAGCTGCAGAGGTCAGGAAACCAGAGCATCCAGACACCTGCAGACGTGTGTGTGAACCCTGAGCACGCCGTGTGACACACGTGGGCTCCTAACCAGGCGCCACTGCCAGCCTCTGTGGCAGGAGAGAGGAGTACCTCCTTGGGGAGGAGGCCTGAGGCCCGGGGAGGTGGGTGCTCCAAAAGCCACAAGAGCACCCAGGTCTGCCACTGGACCACAGCCGGTAAAGTCAAGAAGACGCCCATGCTGTAGGCTTCGAGGGCCCAAGAAAGCTTTGGAAACCACCAAGAGCACCCCCCTCAAATGATGAGGGGCAGCATAGTGTCCCAGGCCATGAGCTCTGCTCGCTGGCCAGCTCCACCCTGAAGAGAGGACCTTGGCTACTAAGCCTCTGTGTCCACTTTGACCTCTGTGTTCTGCTTTGTTCTGTGCTTGAGATGTCAAGAACCCTGGAGCCACCCTACCATGCCCCGAGTGAGTCTAGGTCACTGTGACCTCGAAGATCCAAAGTGGCTGGAGATTCCTCCTAGTCACCCTGAGAACCAAGGAGACCTCACATCCCAACCTCGCCCTGTCGAGGGAGCGCCTGTTCCTGCACACAGGGCCAAGGGGTTATGGAGAGGGGAGTACGGAAGGATGTAAAATCATCTTCAGCGGGTTTGTGCACCTCTTAGTAAATATGCTCTTCTTGTTATTCAGGAATGAAATTTCATCAGTTTACTAAATGCAGTGAAAAGGGTACCCTGGTGTTCCTCCCACTCAGTAACCCCAGCAATGATGCAGAACTTTTAGTTTGGGTTGATTCTGGAAAGCAAGCGGTGTGTTTAATCTTCTGTTCTACTTTCAACTTTAGTTTTAGTTTATTAAGCAGGAGCGAAAGAGCGCTCTTCAGAATACAAGTTAGGTTTTCATGAACCTTGGGAGGGCCTGCAAAACCACAAATCTTCCAGGGAAGGAGACTTCTTCCTCTGTGAGACCATAAAATAAAATCCTGATTGTGTTGAAGAGTGTTTTCAATAAGCTCCCTCTGTGGACCTCAACCACATTTCATGAACGTGTGAAAGATTACTTGTCTCCTCTTTGCACACGCATGTGAAGGATCACACGCCTCCTCTTTGCACACCTTTTTGTTCACTGGAAGCCACATATCCATGCTTCTATGCAACACCTCCGTGCAGAACGCACACTTGGCTTCCCTGTGCTTTGAACAAAGCCCAGCTTGCTGGTGTCAGGAAGGTAGTGCCACGCCAAGCTGTCCACCCTGGAGTCCCGGGGCCTCTCCCTGGGTGGACAGGGCAGTGGGCACAGGCGTGCAGACCCAGTACAGGTTCCCGTTGAGTCCAGGCTGCTCCTTTCCACAGTTCCAGGCTGGCTCCTTTGGGCTGAGCCAGGACCTGTCACAGGCAGGGGAAGTCAGAGCTGTCTTAGAAGAGGCCTCTGGGGTACACACATCCATTTCCCATGTCATAAAGCCAGCACAAATAATTTAGGTAGGGTTGGAAAGACTGCAACTCACTGCTCACCTGCAAGGCCCGTGGGTGATCCATATTTTATGGGATGTACATATTTCATGAAAGAGGAGCGGATTTCATTTCAGAATGAGAGGAAATGAATCGCTGGTTGCTCTGTAATTAAATGGAAGGTGCTGGCCTGGGCTCGGTGGTCATCAGGTTCTGTGTCACCTTCCTTCCACCTTCGCCCAAGCAGCCAAATGGGGACCCAGCGGGCTCTGGCACAGTGCTCTGCCATGTCTGGGCAGAAGGACAGGTAGCTACATCCTGGCCTTGCTCCCCCAGGGATGGGGACAGAGAAAGGGATGGGAAGGGGGACAGGCAGGCATGTCCTTGGCTACTCTTGCCGCAGCCGGTTTTGAGTTCTTTTGTAGAAGACCTTGGCCCACAACTGAGGCCAAACCAGGCAAGTCTTTGCCAGAGCCAGGTGAGGGGAGAAGGCACCCCCAGACTGAGGTGGGCCCTGGGCTCCTCAGAGACTGCAGCCCTGAGTGTCGCCGTCAAGGCTTCACTGAGGAAAAGCATAGCTTTTGTGGGCACAGAGTCCTTAGGACACCCAGAGCCTGGCCATCCCAGGGCAGAGTGCCCATTAACATTGAGGCTGCCCCCTAGAGCAGGGCCTTGCAGGTGGCCTGGCAGGGCAATTTGAGGGTGCTGGCCGGGGTCAGTCCTCGCAGAGGGGCAGTCACAGCCTCATGGGCAGTGGTGTCCAGACACGGGCATGGGGCATAGGCTCTCGGGAGGGGTTGGGGAACCCAGAGGTAACCTTTAGGGCAGCTCCACGCACATTTCCACCGATGCCTCCTCCTGAGGAGAAAGGAACGGGCACAGACGGCCCAGGGCGGTGCTCCACCGGCCCCACTTAGAACTGGGTCCTCTTGGTGAATGTGTGGGTACCAAGAAGGGGGGCAGAAGGGAAGAGTTGTTGGACCACCCTCTAAACCCTTGTGTCAATCCATCCAGAGCAGCGGGGTCACTGCAGCGGGATGGTTCCCCCTGTGTCTCTGGAGCAGGAGCAGGGGAGGTCACCTGGGCAGAGCTGCACCCCAGGGGGAGCTGAGAACTTTCCCGGAGGATGGGGAAGATTCGGCCAAGCCCCAGCCCCTGCCTCTCATCCAAGACTCTCGGGGTGTGCATGAATCAAGGGCTCCCCCTCCAAGGTTATTCCGCGACCTTCCAGAAGGGAATGTGGGGAGACCAGGAAAGCGGCGCTCCTCACTGTCATGGAGAGCAGCGCACCGCTCCGGAAGCGGGAGTTACCAGTAGAATCCGCCGCTGTCGCTGTCGCCAGGGGGCGCTGTGGTCGCGCCCCCCAGTGGGCCCCCCTGAGCCCCGGGCTGAGGCTCCGAGGTCAGCCCCACAGTTCAACCGTCCAGCCCAGCCCGCAGCAAGCTCTGGGTCCCAGGTCGCTCTCTCCCGGCTGCGCGCCTCTGAAACCTTTCCTCTGCCTCCCTCTAGTGGCCCCAAAGCGGAGGCACAGAATCCGCGCCAGGTGAAATGCAGGGATCCGCAGGAGTCCTGGGCCGTGGGCCTGCAGCAGGTCAGCCCCACGCCGTCCTCGCAATGCCCACTGCCGCTATCTTCCCCTGGCCTGGTGGTATCGCTGCGCAGGGTCAGTAACGAGGCACTGTACAGTCGCTGAGGACACGCAAGAATCGCGGCCAGGCCAGGCAGTGGCGGCAGCACAGATACCATCTGGAAGTCAGCACCAGCCGTCTTTCCTAAGGCAAGGCTGGCCACGCCATGGCGAGCGTTTTCTTCCTGGGAATGCGGGTTCTGGGCCCGGAGGACCTGTCAGTTCTGCAGGCATACGAAGACCGTGTGAGGACACACGGCCACGACCACACTTTCTGCCCCACTGAGCAGGGCCGGCTCTGCAGCACAAATCCACCGCCCAGCGCCAGGTCGGCCGCGTTGGGGTTCACCTCAGCTCCTGCTGCTCCCGGCTGCAGGTGGGGAAGGGACAGCGGAGTCCCGGGGCTGCTGGGAAGCAAGAGGTTTGAGGCTCTGGCAGGGGGGACGGTCGCTGCCTCCGCTGCATCTGTGTCCAGAGGGCTTCCAAAGCCAGCACTTGGTGGTGTGGATCCCCCACGGAGGAGGGGGAGCCCAGTAGGTGCGATAGAGTGCAGGGCTCAGCCCAGGCAGCCATAGATGAAGGAAAAGCACGCGTGGACAGAAAAAAGCACGAGAAGGGTGCAGCCCCGGGCACAAGGACAATGCTGCGGTGCGGTCAACCAACACAGGTTGGTATGTGTGAGTGTGTAAGTGTGTGAATGTATGAGTGTGTGACAGTGTGTGGCCATGCTGTCATTGTTCAAGGATGTTCCACTCTGTGTGGCCCGCCATGGCCTTGTCCATTAAAGCACATGAAAGCTGTTCCCATGCTTACCCGTCCACGAACCCTCTAGCAGGAGGTGTCAACTCACAAAGAAGCAACCAGACCGGATGGAATGGTGGGGAGGTCATATCAGCTGTGCCCCGTGTGTGACCAAGCACACATGAGACTGAGCCAGCTACCAGGAACCACAGTAATGGAACTTGGATGACGCAGGGTCTCACCAGATGGCAAAGTAAGTACCTCCGTTAGCATCCTCCAGTACACAAGCCCTGCCGGTGTTCGCTCTCAGCCAGCATCTTTCCAGGGTCTCTGAGTGGCAGCATGAACCGGAGAGATGGGGTCCTTCCTTGACAGGCCTTTTCCTGGGGATGGGGAGCCCTGAGAGAGCACAGTCCAGGTTGAGCTGACTCCGAGGAGCTCTGGGAAGGGAAGAAGTGGGGCGATGCACTGAGGAGCAGAGAGGACAGGTGGGGCAAGCAGCTCTGGAGGAGAGGGGGCAGCCCTGGAAGAGTGAGGAGCAGCAGGGTGGCAGTGGCAGTGTGGTGGGGACTGAAGACTGGGACCAACAGGGAGGGTCAGCGGGGCCACAGGGGCTAGGGAGCATGTCAAGCACAGCCAAAGCCACTGGAGGAACTCAGGAGAAAAGTGCAGACTCTGGTTTACTTTTGAAGACATCACCCTGGCAGTTGCTGAGGAGGGAAGCTGGAGGAGGGGCAGACTGGGGGATCCTGAGGTCCCTGGACCCTCTGCAACAGCTCCCACAGAAGGTGGCAGCAGCCCGGCTTTTGCTGACAGATGAGGGGAGGGTGGACGAGAGAAGAAATCCACTTGGATGCCCTGGCAGTTGAGAGAGTGCCTGGCCGGACCTGGTGCTCCTTGTGGATGTGGATCTTGTTTGGGAAGTGGCTCATAGGGATTCAGAAGGGAGCAGAGGCTTGGCAGAGAGAGGCAGACAGCTTGCTGTTCTCTGAGTCGCTAAGGTCCGGCGATGTCTCCGACCCGGGCCAGAATGAAATGCAACTGAGTAGCCTGGCATGTGGTGTGGCTCCCTGAGGCACAGGAGCTGAGATACCACAAGATGGGGTCCTCCTCTGAGTCTGAGCTGAGGCCCTTCTCCGTGTCTCCAGTGAAGAGGCAGCACAAGCTATTTGCAGCCGGGGTAAAGCGGGGAACAGCTGGTCCCATTGGACACGCATCTTCACTGATTGCTAAAAGCAAGCGGGAGGAATGGGCATCAGCATTTAAACCGGAAGACAGGCAGGCCCTCAGCCCCTTCCGATGAATGACAGAGTGCACTGGTATGTGATTTGTGATGCCCACACATGCTCAGATCCTGAGCACGACACCTGGCTCGAGGGTACTTCCTCACCTCACTGAGTTACTCAGCTCCACTGTGAGCAGCAGTCATGGCTCTGCTGATTTTCACAATACAGGGTTCAGAGGAAGCAGGAAAGAGTCTTTCCCCTCCCACCAGGCACGCTGTCTACACTTATCCATCCTTGAGATGAACCGGTTAGTTCCCACTCAGCAAACCATACAAAGACTAAGCAATGAAATTGAACATGACTGCGCCAACAGGCCAAGACTTAAAATCATCTTGGCAGGATGGGGCACTTTGATCTAGTTTGTTCTAGTTGACAGCGATCACTAGAACAGCCTCTGAAACCTTAACCAGCAGAGGGCGTCTGGGTTCCACGCTTTGCCCCAAAATAGTTTAATAGTGGCCAGAAAATCCAAATCCGCTTGATCGATCTGAGAGTCATCTATGGCCCTCAGCAACAGGGCATGGGGACAGCGGACACTCGTGGCACTGAAGTGGGGGCTACAAGCTGTGTCCTACAGAGTGTGCTGATGCTGACCCGATGCCACAGGAGCTGCCAGGGAGGGACCTGCTGTCCTGAGATCATGTGGTTGGGCGTGGAGACCCTGGTAAGGGATGTTTCATAACTCATACATAAAATGAGTGCTTTCAAAGCTCTAAGGGCTAAAAATTGGCAAGTTGGGGTTTTCTTTCTGCCTTGCTTTGTTCCCAATCATGGGGCATCGAGTCCACTACCCTCACCTTCATGTCCAGTCCCTTCCATGTTTCTATTCGTTTTATTTTTGTGTTTTTGAGTCAGGGTTTCGCTAAGTCACTAAAATACACAGACTGGACTTGAGTTTGCAATCCTCCTGCCTCCCAGAGTGCTGCAATCACAGAATCCTCCACTAGTATTTGGTTTGATTTTTGATTTAAAAAATCAGCTATATTAATGTTGTTTGCTTTCAGCCTACTTTAATTGGTAAATTAAACCTTTACAGCTCAGTGTGTTCTCACACTGTCTTCTCAGGCAGTGAACTATTCTAAACTGACAGACAATCATATGTTCTGAACTCCACTTCATATCTACCTGGTGACCAAGGGCTGTGCTAATTTCCCAGGGAAACTTTGTGGTCTCCAAACTCTGATGTGTCTTCGTGCTCTGCAGGGTGCAGTGTTGGTGGGTGTGTGTCACTACACATTTCCAACACTCAGAAAACTGTGCAGCACAAAGAGCAAGCACTGATGTGAATTAGACTTGAATCAAGAATGACACATCAACATGTTTACCGATTCGCGGACCCCCAAGCTGAGGCAGTAATGAGATGATGGCACACTCAGTACCATATGATCAGCTTTCCCATAAAACAATGACTTCTGGAAACAATGAATCTTCTAAAACCTAGAAGTGTGCTGTAGCTTGGATCTGCAAGGTCCCCAGCAGTCATGTGCTAAAGCCTTGGTCCCTAACCTGCCGTGCTTCTGGGAATTGGTGGAGCCCTTAGTTGGTGGGGCTTGTGGGAGGAAGTGAGGTCACTGAGGATGTGTCTTATGGGAGGAAGTGAGGTCACTGGGCGTGTGTCTTATGGGAGGAAGTGAGGCCAAAGGGGGTGCCCACCCTCTCCTGTCTCTGGCAGCCATGCATGAGGTGAGCAGCTTTTCTCCACCCTGTTCCCCACCATGATGAGCTGCCTTGACACATGCCCAGAAGCCAGGGGTCTGGTCTTCCATGACCTGGAACTTTCAAAACTAGGAGACAAAATAAATCTTTCTTCTTTCTTAGCTACTTATTCCAGATATTTGTTATAGGTGAAGAAAGCTGACCAATATGAAGAAGAACTAGAATTGGTCTTATGATCCCTACCCATCCCACTTTTGAAGGAAGGCAGAATGGTAATGGGTGCCCACCCCTCCCTGGGAAGAGCCTCTGTAATGTGGAGCTGCCCAAGGTTTGCAGTTTTCTGTGTTTTTCTCTGAGCTGCTAATTTCAAAAGTTGGTGAGGAAGCCTTGACCCTTGCATTTTAAAAAGTTCTTGGCATCACTTAATTTCTATCGAGTAAACAGGCTGCCTCAGAGATCTCAGTCACATCGCATGGCCAGGCAGCCACATGCATTGCCAGCTAAAGACCAAAATACTAACACCAGAGTGGACAACAAACATCTTGGGATTCCTGTGGACCAGTGAGCCCAGGACCTGCTGTCTTCCTCTCCTCATGGTGTCCTTTCCAGAATCTCCCAGCCGTCCAGCAGTCTGCAGGGCACCAGAGAAGAGGGCCTCACATGGATGAGATTATGTCAACATGGCAGAACAGTAACTTCAAACAGAGGGTCCAGTTACAGAAAACTCCCATTTGTCACACTCATGAAAAGCTGAAGTTTGGTAAACTTTTTTGCACCAAAATTAAGAATGGAAAAACTCATGAGTAGTTTAGAGCCAAGTTCAGTTTCCCCCAGTTTGTGACCTATTGTTAAAATTGTGGTAGAATTTTGATTATGAATAGCATGTTCTTCAAGTGTCCTGAAAGGTGAGCAAACATTTCTGATAAATTTTAACTTGATAAACTAATGATGTCTTGCAACATGAGTAGTAAGTGATGCCAAGGGTCACGATATCACAGCGGAGACAATTTTGTAGAAAAGCATTACTTGAATAAGGCTGTAGCAGTACAAGTAATAAATCTTTAATCACAATGCAGTGTCACATTCCCACAAAAGCCTGAACAGGAGGCAAAGACAAGTGTCATTGCCTGGGTTCCTTGCTAAAGTTGCACAAAAAGAGATTCTGTGGAACCGGTAGACAGCGGTGATTCTGTTAGTGACGGTGAAATTTATCCTACATGATGCCCCTGCTCTCTTGTCTCCTTCCCACCTGCCATGAAGGTTTTCAAAGGTAGTGCAGATTAGGTTGCTTATTTTTCTTTATTTTTTATTGTCTTTACTATTTTGTACTACATTGCAGTAATGCAATTATTTTATATGAATATTTTGGGGTCATGGAATGAATCCTCTGTGTTTCCATTGTTTCTTATAGGGAAATGCTGATACACAAATGCTTCAGATTGAAGATCTACGTCCAGAATGAACTGGCTTGGAAACCAAGGTTTCATTGTGATACTGTCGATGATTACACGTCTTTTGGGTTTACATAAACATCCTTGAATTCCTGCACATAGATAGGTAGAAGGGATATCTACAAAGTGGTATTCATTATAAAGTTCAGTACACACATCCAGTAGAGACAATGGCAAAAAGCTTTATCATCCAAACCATATAAATAATGTTTCCATTATTTAGAAGTTTTTCTTATGCACAGAGCAGTCATTGATGTCATCTTGTGAATGTCTGCATTTGTTATTCTTCAGGACAGGACTGTGCTCTGGCATTCTGATAATGCTGACTTACATAATTGGTAGAACTGTTCAATCCCTTCCCCATGGCAAAGGGGACATGATGCTAATCTCCAGCCAGCATTGACAGGGAAATTTCGCTCCAAACACGTGCGGATATTCCTGGCACATGCCAAACTCAGTCCCTGCGAAACTGCAGGGGACAGACATAGGAAAGAACCAAAGCTCTGAGGCCAGGGTAAATTTCCCAGCTGGGCCCTAGAAGTTGCTCAGCTCAAGTGGACGGGGAGGCACCCCGCACTCTCTGCCTTCTAGGGAGCTGATGTTTGTCCCCATCAAAGCCCAGCATCTTCTCAGACCTGATGGTTCCCGCATAGAATTATTCTATGTGTGTGCAGTGACTGACAGCAGAGAGGGTGACAGAGCTTTGAGAGGCCCTCCTGTCACCCTAAAGCTGCTGTCCTCTCCTCCTCCCCAGCACAGAACATTTCAGGAACAGCAGCAGCCACATATGCCCAAGAAGTCCTGGAGACACCTGTGAGCATCTGTGTAGTCTGCCCAGCCCATGGCAGTAGCTACAACCACTGCCACCATCAGCTACAGGACCAAGCCCAAAGTTCCACCCAGAGACCCAGAACACCATGATGACTTGATATTCCTGGAGCTCCGGAAACTTCTCTGATGATACAGGCAAAGAGGAAGAGACTGTGGTGTGATGCTCAGGAATCACCTGAGGCCCTGACTTTCTGTTGAGAGCCCTAAAGAGCCTACTGAGCCACTGCATGTGGGACACACAAGTGGGGCTGTATTGGGACTTGCAAGAAGCAGGTAGCAAGACAAAGGAAGAGGCTTCCAAATCGCTGGCTAGGTCAGCTTTGTGGACATATTTGGTTGGAGACCTGTGACAGCTGGGAGCCAGGGGACCCAGCCACATTCCAGGAGGATGTGCCGTTCTCCTCCTTCCATGCTGTCTTTCCCCCCTGTTAAGTTATTATTCTGAGTTGTTTACTTTCCAAGATGCAAACTTTAATATCTTCTTTTAAACTTAGTCCTTCCACAACAGGTAGGAGGAGGCTGAATGAGCCTGGAGACCACAGTCTGCACCCTCTCAGTGTGCAGGGAGCTCTCGGGAGGACGGACACTGGGACAGGTGTTCCTGGTACCTCTTTTCTCAAGCACTTGCACTGCTGCTCCCCCCCCCCACCCACCATTTTATTCTGTCTGGAAAGATGAAAACAGAAACAGCATATTGATCTCCTCTGATGATATTTCCAGGCTTTATTTAAATCATACATTTCCTCAGAAAGATGATTTTTGCCTTCTGCACAGGTTACTTTTGAAGAATAAAATCCAACAGATGTTATTTGCTTGCACTTTTTATGTCTTCAGTGTCCAGATGTTTACTCCTTTGCACTTGTGGACTGTGATGTATTGATTTTCTATGATGAGCCTTTCTTCCTTAGGATTCAGGGGGTTTAAGAAGAGAGCCTTATGGAGATGTGCAGAGTGGGTGGAAAGGGGGCTGCCGTGCCTCAGTGGTCAGAGCCAGCACTTGTCGAGCTCTGCTGGCCCTGTGGCTCCTTGGATGCAGCCTCAGCAGCTGACACTGCTGTATCCTGGTACCTCAGTCTCCTTCCTTAAACCGACTCCTTCACAGCCTGGCCCCTGGTCCCTGCAGCCAACGTGCTCCTGCACAACTCCTACACACAGAGGTCCACACGAGCAGTGGGCAAGCTTTTACATGAGGACCAGATCATAGTACTGGAGCCTTTAGGAGTTGTAAGTGCTCTGTTGTGATTCTTGCCTTTGCCACTGTGACATCAAAGCAGCTGCAGACAGCAGATAAGGATGAGCAGACTTCCCAACCAAGCTGTGTTCATGCCTCCAGACCCTCCAGGCTGCTGGTTTGCCAACCACCATCTACACATGCAGTAAAAGACCTTGGATGAATTGAAGTGTGAAACACTCTAATGGAGTCTAGCACAAGCTACGTTCTCTCTAAGCTGGTTAAACTAGAACACAAATGAGTGCCTCCCCTAAAAGCATCACACCCTCTGAGCCCCACACACTGCCCTCCTTCCAGGCCCTGTCTCCAGGTCTGCACCTGGCAGCTCCTGTGACCCTAGGGACTTGAAGGGTGCTGGCCTCCTCCTCCAGACCCTGCCTGGCTCCAGGTCTCAATGTAAGTTGACACACCTACCATCTGCCCTCACGGTGCCCTGCACTACCCCAGGAATGGCCCTGCCTGCCCTGGACCTGTGCTCTGCCCATCCCCACCTGCCCCACCCAATACAGCCCTGATGAAAGTAGACGGATTCTTCTACTCATGACCCACAACACTAACAGAGGACACGATGAAAATTTAAATTTGAGGGGTTGGGGATTTGGCTCAAGCGCTTGCCTGTTAAGTGCAAGGTTGTGAGTTCAATCCCTGGTACCAAAATTATAAAAGAAAAGAAAAGAATAGAAAACTTAAATTTACGATTGAATGTGTGAAAGAATGAATGGGTGAAAATCCTCAAATGAACATACAAAATTTCTGTCTGTGCACCAGAAACTGCGTTTGCAATTGCAGCAAAAAGTCATAAACTTTTCTCCCAGCTTATTCTCATTCATCACAGACACAATGGGAGGGCAGGAACTTCCATCCCCTGGGGAGGAATCCTGTTTCCTTAAACTTCAGGCTCTAAAGGAAGAAAATGATTTGTGAGCAGAATCTCTAGAAGCTGGGAATTAGTAATATAAATAAAGGTGAAGGAAGGAAATCTCTTAAGAGCTGAATAAAATGAACGTTAAGGAAGCGGTGTGTTAGTCCATCAGAGCTGCTAGAATAAAATACAACAAGGGGTGGTTTTTGAATAAGAAAAGTCCATTTGCAGCCCTGCTGGAGCTGACGGCGGGGGGCGCGAGCAGCAGCTATGTGGGGTTCAGCCAGCGTATGCGTGGTGGGAGGCAGCCCCCTGCACCTCAGTCTCCTCCACAGCACCCTTTCCTACCGTGGAATTGCCTCACAGCTTTGATTCCCGTCTCCCCGCTGGGCTGGTGCTGCCCATGTTTCGTGCACTCTTGGCTAACCCTGTCTCTTTTGAGAGACATCGGTTCAGAACTTTCACCCGTGTTGCAGTTGGGTGATTCAGGCTTTTGCTGCTGAGTTCTTGGAGTGGTGTGTTCAGGATGTCAAGCCCTTCCTATCTGATCGTTTTACAAACAGTTTTCCCATCCTACTAGCTGTGTGGCCCTCTGTTGATTGTTTCCCTCGCTGAGCTGAAGCTTTTCAGCTCGATGTCTCCCCCACTCCTGCATTTCTCCTTCTGCTTCCTGTGCTTTGGGGCCTCATCCAAAAACCCCTTTCCATTCCCACCCCGGTGTCCTGAAGCATCCCCCTGGTGCTTCCTTCTAGCGGTTTCATAGGGTTAGGTCCTACATTTACATCTTTGATCTATTCTGAGTTGAGTTTTTCCTCTTTATTTTATGAAAAAATAAAGCAAGTTTCAAATAATAAGAGAATATCAATAGTTATAACACTGTGTGTTTTTAATCTTCAAAGTAGTGACTCAGTATAAGACTAAACCAAAAAGATTCTTACAGGAAAAAAAAAAAAAAAACAGAATAACACCTGCAAATGGCATATTCCATCATCTCAAAAATGTTCCAGCATATGTGAATTTGTTTCATTAATAGTAATAGCTTCATTTAGTTCCCTGAGTTGATTTTTCGAACAGCCCAGAGAGAGGCTCTGTTTCATTCTCCTGCTCTCCGCCACAGAGCCTCTTCCTGACCACGTCTTCCCTTGCCTGAGTCAGAAAGGCCCCGCTGCCCAGGACCCAAGCCCCCAGCTGACCCAGGAAAAGCAAAGTCCCCTCTGACAGCACTGCGGCCCAGGTAAACCTGAGGAACAGCTGGGATTTAGACACAGAGTGGCAGAGAAGATGGCTGTGCACAAGGTCGGGGAGGCAGGAAACGCTGGAAGAGGACAAAGGGCTTATGTGACCTAAGCAGGGAGTCTATAAACAAGAAGACAGGATTAGCAAGGCTGAGAAAAGCAGCACCATGGTGGCTTAGGGCAGATTGATGGCCAGGGGAAACTTCCCTTCTGTACTCTGTCGAGGCAGGGAGATGGGGCCTCGCAGGGGCAGCTCCCTCCAGGCCTTGTGCCAGAAGGGGCCATGAAAATGTCCCTGCAGTCTGCTGAGCCACAGTGGCCTAGACTTTGAATTTTACTCCCTGAAACAACATTTTCTATGTCAGCAGTGCCATCAAACCTAATCAGACAATAATAAGAAATTCTATCACAAAGGGGGAAAAACAAGAAACTCTAGAAATAACTCTGTGTGAACCTAAAAGATGAAAATTTGAAATGTGGGGAAAGCAGGGGGAGCCCAATAGAGATTGATAGAAATTATGGAGAGTTCAGTGTTTCTTTAGTTATTTTGTGTAACAAACTACTTAAATTCAGAATTTTAGTTTTACATTTCACTTTAGTTAATCTAAAGTGAACGTGAAAGAATAAATAGACAAGACCATTGGAGGGAAAGCTAATAACTGGAAGGTATTGGCTGTGCTTGAGGACAGGGGAAGCAGAGGGGTGACAGGTAAGGTGACAGCTCAGGCCAGGCAGCGACACATCCCAGAGGACAGAAGGCCACAGAGAAGAGGCACAGGCACAGAACCTGCACCAAAACCCCAGAGGAAGGAACAGACTGCTCAGCTTGTGTTCATCTCAAAATTTCCCAGATAGCTAGGAAATAGTTATTTTTATATATCTTTATATATTCAGTGATATAGCTTAAATAAGAATAATTATAGAAAAAGTCTAGGCTAAGAAATAGTTAAATCTTGATTCAGACTTCTGTGGAATAGTTTTCCAGTTATAAATACAATGGAAGAATTCCAAAGTGAGACATTATAATAGAAAAATAAGCTGAGAAAAGCAGCCTTCTATGAAGATGAGAAGCAGAGATGGCTGGTGCATTTCATAGAGAGAGAGGAAAACAAACAGAGCCACTGGAATGCTAGCACCTGCTATGAAAAGACTGGCCACAAAGAGGAATTTAAGCTGAATAACACATTCACATGAAAAGAAGGAAAGTCCAGTCAGGGTTCCTGTCCATGACACCAACACATGTGTCAAGCGAGGTAACAGTCCTGTGGGTAACGTGGTGCAGGGGTGACTCGCACTGCTAACTGAGCTTCCTGAAGCTGCCTGACTTTTTCCTGGGAAACAATTTGCCATGTGAACTGAAGCGCAGTGACTGAACTCGCCCGGGCTATGGTGGGCTGTGTACCTGAAGGTCCCCATGGAGGCTTGTCCAGGGTGGGGGCAGTGCTGCGGACCTAGAAGAGGTTGCCTGGTGGAGGTCGTGGGTACCTTCAGAGGGCGGTGGGGGCCAGGCCCCTAGGCTCTGTGCCTGCTGGCCACCAGGTGCTGTGGGACCCCACACGACCCCTGACCTGGTGTCCCTGCCCAGGCCCTGGCTCCTGGTTTTGGACTCAAAGCTGCCCAGATGTGCCCAGCACAGCCCTGCCTTACTGCAGGTGTAACTTCTCAGGTTCAGTCCTGGATGCCGAGTGAACACACTCGCTGACCAAGGGACTTGCTGCGGTGGGGACCCTTTGATGAAGAGAGGGTGCCCCTGGGCATTGCGAGTGGAAACATGAATTCTCTGAGTGGCTCCTACACAGGCCACGTGTCCTGGCTGTATCGGCTAGAAGGCTGCTACAGACCTGTGCCAGGCTGCACCCCTGCCACATGGGAAGCCACCCAGTGCCACCCTGGGGCACTGCGTCTGCAGCAGGTCAGGCACACACTCTCCACAGCAGACAGCGACAGACAGCATGGGCACCAGTGAGGGCAGCACTCATCCCCAGTTGCTTCTGCCTGGCGTCCTCCACCATTCAGGCTTCTGTCCCCTGCTGCCCCACAAGCACATCTGTCACCAGGCTCTTCAAAGCTATTGCTCCTGCTGCTTCCATCTCCCTTTTTGATTTTTGTCTTCTCTTTCTCTCTATTTTACCAATGTTGCCCTGAAAAAAAAAAACATGAATTCTTCTTAGCTAAATATTAAGGTGATTTTATTTTGTCTGAGCAGGTTAAACACATAGCTCTTGAAGCAAATATCAAGAAAATAGTTCCTATTAGATTAAATAAATTCATAATAAAAATCCTTATTGTCATCATTTCTAACATACTCATCACTTACAATAGTGCTGTGTTAGCTTCCGAAAGGCCATGGAACTCTGAAAAAGAGAGTGGTGAATCTCGGCATCAGCGAAATCTCCAAGAGCGTTACTGCCAAAGCTGCCTAAGAGAAGGAACAGGGAGGTGGGCCCTGTGGGGCCCACTGTCTCCACTCTGGGCCTGCT